GTAAATATAACGATTGTGTGCTCACTCGTTCTGGCAAATCTAATGGTTTTGGTATGTAAGGTATACTGTCAGATATACTACTATTATTCTCTGTAACATATATCATATTATCGAACTATATTGACATAAAAAAGTCTTATATATTATCTAAAACTAATATAAATATTATTTGAATTGTAAAATGCACTATAATGTATACAAAGATAAATTAAAAACTTCATATCAAACAGTGAAAATACAACATAGAAAAATACTGATATACAAATGCAATACACGTATGTATGCACTTATAGTGTGAAGCTAGCACGAAAAAACGATATGATAGCTAAAAGCTTCTGTGCTAAACAAGTTCCGTCAGCAAAAGTATCACCGTTTGATGCAGAATTGATTTCTGAATCGATTGGACCAGTTTTTATGGACGGGACTTTGTTTAGTAAAAAACTTTTTAGCTAACATATCGTTTCGTCGTGGTAGATTCACAATAATGAGTTGAAAAGTATTGCGTTTACTTTCATCGATCTCGTTATAAAGCGATAGTCAGGAATTTGTGTATTCCTATGCACTCATCATTGTCATCGATTGAGCTAAACATTGTTTTTTTTTCTTTTCTCTGAGAAAATCTATAAAAATTCATTTCAATATTTGTCGTTACCTTTAGAATGATAATATACATGACTACTATTGCTTAATATTTTTCTTCATTTCATGCTCGACTGAATATTGTATGTACATACATTGAAGAGAATATTTCGCCTTTGCTCTTTTGCTCTAGTGATACATCGATAAATGATCATTGAAAGTTTGGCAATTGATGTTGTCATCAAATAAAATGATTCATCGAGCTTATCAGACACATGTCAAATAATTTTCAAAATATATATCGCTTGAAGTTCATTTGAGAATGTAGATGTGTACATTAACTATAGTAAGTTGATCATTAGCAACACATATACAATTTATATATGAAAAAATCTGATTTATTCGAAAATTATTGTTGCGTTTCGTTGTAGTATAAATTGAATCAATCTGAAGAAATCAATTAATATTCGTTCATTGTTATTCATGAACCTTTTTAAATAAAGATTTATGCGATTGAACCTGAAACTGTGTAAGAGCGAATTCGACCTTAATGATAATTCAATGAATTATTTCTAAAGCTTCAATTTTCATTAATATTTTGCCTTTATTTCGTTGTCATTCGTAATGGTAGACTGTATTTAACATTTTTATCTTTTGATCCTTTCATGAAATCAAGAAGAACAGTCTAATAAAGAATCACATACTAAATCATTTATCGAGTTTCGATCCAAGAGAAAATGAAAGAAACAATCGACACTTTTTCCTCAAAAAGTAATTTTATACGTTCATTTGAGAGAATATTTAATTATGCGAATGGTCAGTACACAGTGGTTTCTCTAAGTTTGATAAGAATTTTCACCATTCACGTCTTCTGAATGATTTTATTTCAATCTTCGAGAAATAATTAAAGAATTATTTCTACAAGATCTGATTGTAATGACAAACTGGTTGAGTAGCTGACCGCTTCTCACGGTATAGATGTTTATTGACTACTCTATATGACCAGAATGTGTCTCTTTCACAATAAGACACGTGCTTATATAGAGAAGAGGAAAGAGAGATATGACCCGGAGATAGTATGATACAGAGGTGAGAGAATAAAGAACAGAAAGAGATGGACGATATCATTATCGTTACACTGATATTTTTAATTTTTCATTCATTTTTATAGAATTACTTCATAAAAAGAATCGAAACTTATTTTCTCAATGAATGTAGTTCTTCTTCTTATTTTTCAAGGTCATAATTGTAACGGATATATAATGAATGTTGAATAGATAATAGTTCGTTACTGCTATGTAGATGATGTATACTGCAATGAATCCTACTTCGATTGTGTTACTGTGCAGTTGCGTCGCGTATAATACACAACGATAAGAAGGAAAATCGACAAAAAGAAATTGGAGAACGGAATTTCGCCAATATTTCCGAATTTGAAAAGCTGTTTTGAAGGTGAGTGTGGGTGAATCTAAACAATAGGATACTACATGAAACTTTGTATAAATACCCTCCTAAAAAGTCTAAGCAGTTTTTGAAAGTTAGAAATATTGTCGAAAATCCGTCGATTAGATTCTACTTGTCGATTTCCTAGTAAGCCGTGTTTTCTTTGTTGTCACTTTTATACATATATGATCCTCGAATAAACAGAGGCCGCTATGTCCTGACTGATCCCTCCAAAACGATGGGAAAACCATTTGTTACGGGGCATGTGCAACAATCACGCATATCTGACATATCAATACATCGTCACGGTCGAACTGTTTATCGCACTAAACAAATTCTATGATAAACAAAAATATTCTTCGTCAGAGCTTGTTCTATGCGCACAGATGATTTTAAACGATGAGGGAACAGAGTCGTATGAACAAAACGAAGGACGATCAAGTGAAAATATATCCGATTCACGAAAAATTTAACACCTACTCCGGTATTGATGATGCAAAAAGTTGGCTGTTACAAACTACGAGCCAATTCAAGGTACATCGGATACGACGCGGCGAGCAACTTGAAGCTCTGGCGTTACTGTTAGTAGGGGAAGCTTATTTATGGTTTGTGGGAAAAGGCGCGACTATTGCTAATGCTGAAAAATTTAGAAAGTTATTTCTTGTTAAGGAGTCATTAAAAACACATGTTGCATTACAAGATCCGAAATTAAGCGAAGCATTTTTATCATCAGCATGAATATTTGAAAATATTTCTGCAAATGATACTTATTTGAACGCAGTCACCTATCAAAATCAACCAAATCAAATGAACTACGCACCAATTTCGAACAATAATTCCCGTCAAAGCAGTTCTCGATACTCAACTGCACCGAAAAATCGTCCAATGTATAATCGAAACACATCAAGTGGATACAATGGTAGCCGACAAAACAAACCTTCGGAGCATACAAGACCAACACAGCGATCGAACGCATGTTTCGATTGCGGTACGCTGAGAAGTGCATCTTTATCTGACGGTCACACACGGCTTTCTATTCTAGGCAGATTAGAATTGTACATCGATATCGGTGATAGGCCAACAATGATCAAAGGATATGTTGTGAAGGAATTATGTTCCGAAAGGATATTAGGAATGAATTTCATTAGCAAATACCAATTCATTATCAATGTTGAAGAACACACAGTGACATTGCGTGACGATGACAAATGTATTACGGCAACACTCGAAGTTAACCAATGCAAAATTCATTACTCAACACGAACAACTCGTTATACTCACACAGTAGTGTCAAACTCGAAACTTGAGTTGCAGTATCACTGCTGACCTATACTACCAAAAATTTGGATCGAGTTGCAGGAAAAATCAAAGGGAAGCAGAATCGAATTTACTATATACACGATAATGCCAGACCCCATGATGCAAATTTAAGTTTCGAATAGATTACCATTTGTTTCGTTCTCTATATCACCACTTACGTGAGAATGGACATTCTCAAATTCTTTGGTCAAAAGTCTCAAGACTTCTATGAACGTAGGATCCTATCTCCACCAGAGCATTGGCGACAAGTCATAGATAGTAGCGGTGCATATATAAATGAAAGCTAGTTACATTTTGAAGGCTTAAAAATAAAAATAAGATCTTTAAAAAGAACGCAAAAACTAATTTGTCAACCTAATAGATTAGAAGAATTTCACAGTTAGCTGACACATTAAACAATT